GAGGTAAGCCGGGGCAAGATTATGTAGTGATTTAAAAACAAACATAAGAATTTTAAAATGAATCCTAAAATATACAGGCAGCCAGTGAAGTGAGGTCAGGACAAGGGTCACGTGTTCCCTCTTTCGAGTTCCTGTCAAAAGTTGTGCAGCAGCATTCTGAACCAGCTGCAGACGTGAGAGCAGTGACTGACTGACTCCCAGATAAAGTGCGTTATAGTAATCCAATCGAGTTGAAATGAAAGAACCCTTCTGGTGAAATGATGTTATCTTGAAGTCCTGCTGAGCACAACAAGGACCAAGACAACTTTTCATCCTTTTACCTGTTACACGGATCAAAATGAAACAATTTAGAGTGAAGATCATACCGCTGTTGTTGAGTCTTGATCATGGTTTGAAAGTCTGTAAATTCACTTGCTCAGTTGTTTTTGTTTTGTTTTGTTTTTTAACAGGATTGCCTCATGCCTTTGTCATGAGTCAATCTGAGTTGTAGCAGATTGTGTTGTCTCTACTGTGCTATATTAGGACCATGGACCCACTGTTGTTCACATTCCACCCTCTGACATATGCAAATCTGGCTTTGAGAACACTGTATAACAGCACTAACAATCAACAGAGCTATCCAGATGCAGTTTTCATTATTGCCGGAGATATTAATCATGTCAACTTAAAGGTATTGCTCCCCAAATTCCATCAACATCTAAAGTGCGCTACCAGAGGACTCAATATGTTAGATAATGTCTACACTAACATCAAACTGGCTTATAGAGCCAAGCAGTTACCACACCTGGTGCAGTCTGACCACATGTCACTTGTTTTTGATTCCTGCGTATACTCCCATGAGGACATCTGAACCTACCATCATCAGAGCCATCACAAGCTGGCCTGATGATGCCTTTCTGCAACTTCAAGATAGTTTTGAAAGTACAAACTGGGACATTTTTGAACATAGAGACCTGGAATTATTCACTGACAGAGTTCTGTGTTACATCAAGACCTGCACTGAAAGTGTTAAAGTGAAAAAAATTTACTCCAATTCCCAAACAAAAAGGCACGGATGACCGGAGAAGTCCAGCTGCTGCTTACAGAAAGGAATGCTGATAACAAGTCTGGGGACAAGGATCTCTACAGCTTGACACGGAGCAACCTAAAGGGAAGGATCAGAAAGGTATCAGGCATCAGCACTGGCTCTCCTCAGGGCTACAAGAGGAGGATTGAGGAGATGAGACGCTCGCTACAGTCTGTCAACCCCAGAAAGGCAGCGGGACCTGATGATGTTCCTGGATGTGTGCTGAGGAACTGAGCAGAGCAGCTAGCTGGAGTCTTTACAAAGATCTTTAACCTGTCCCTGTGTCAGGTCAGAGACCAATCGTGCCTGAAATCCCCCACCATCGTTCCCATTCCTAAATAAAACACCCATCACCTGCCACTACCGACCAGTGGCTCTCACTGCTCTCACATTTCATCACCCCGTTGGTGATGAAATAAATGTTTTGAGAGATTGGTGCAGAGTCACATCTTGGCATTCATTCCTCGCACCTTTGACACACACCTGTTTACTTACAGAGCTAGCAGGTCAACTGAAGATGCTGTTGCCACTGTCTGGCTGTTTTGTCCTACCTGAGAACTGGGAGAGCTACGCACGAATCCTCTTCATTGAGTTCAGCTCGACTTTCAATACCATCCTCCCTGACAGACTGTTGTGCAAACTGGCAGACCTGGGAAGCCTCTCTTCCACCTGTGGTTGGATTAAGGACTTTCTGACAGATCGCAAACAAAAAGTTAAAGTGGGCCCCCATGCCTCTTCAGCTATCAGGCATCAGCACTCGCTCTCCTCAGGGCCACGTTCTGAGCTTTCTGCTCTTCTCACTGTACACAAACTGTTGTGTTTCAGTCCATCAAATTTAACAATGATAATCTGCCCAGAACATCATCAGCTACTCTCATCATGTCTAGATTATGTTTTAATTTGTGCTGAAATCCTTTTTTAGCAGCATTTATGTTTGATACATCAACTTGGGGATCTTTAATTTAATCTTTTGCTTTTCATTCATTTGATTTTATTCCTCCTGGTTGATCTTTTATTAGTATGACTGGAAAAAGTGTTATCTGCCAAAAAAGGTTAAAGGCTAATGTTGCCAAAAAGAAAATGGCGAAAACATCAAAAGCATGAGCGCTAATTGCTTGGTTAGTTATTTCAGAAATCATCAGAGCAGATAAATCTAATTATCACCATGTCACGAAGCAGGGATTTTTAATCTGTCTCTGAAGGACGACATAACATTCAAACTTATCAAAATAAATTATTTAAAGGCCAGTTTATAAATATACTGTAAATAAACTTGTGATTGAGTTTGTGTGCCCATGCTGTGATGTGTGATCTATTTAAAGTGTACCCTACCTCATTTCTACTACCCACACGTATCTTTCAATACATATTTTGGTGTTAGCAGTCTATATATATATATATATATATATATATATAT